AGTTTATTTTTTCTAAATTTAACTTTATGCTTTTGCCTTGGTAGGGGATGAAATAAATGCTTGGGGCAGTAAAAAGTATGAACCTGCCACCTTCTGCCATGTCACTGATCTTCACAGCCACCCTTCTGCCCCAACTGCCCAGGAACAGCAACTGTGTTTGCTATGACCAGGGACACTGGATAACATATTCTAGCACTGCTCTGAAGTTAAGCGCCTTTCAGTAAAGCGTCCTGCGAAAAGCAGGTGGGGCTCTAATCCAACCTATCTGTGCTGGCACATAGAATCATTTCAGCTGGAAGAGTCCTTTAAAGGCCATCTGGTCTAACTCCCCTGCAATGAACGAGGACACCTACAGCTACATCAGGTAGCTCAGAGCCTCGTCCAGCCTGACCGTGAGTGTCTCCAGAGATGGGGCATCCACTGCCTCTTTGGGCAACTTGTGCCAGCGCTTCATTACTCTTACTGAAAAAAAAACCAAAACTTTCCTTATATCCAGTATAAATCTCGCCTTGTTTTTCAGTTTGAGACCATTTCCTCTTGTTCTGTCACAGCACACCCTGCTAAAGAATTCGTCCTTCAGGACATCCCGAGGAACTAGCCTCTTCCATTCAGTGACACTGCACATAGACATTACAGGCCATGATGAACCTCTCAAAACAAACCAAGGCAAAGCCTTGCTACAAAGTACTCCCTGTGCCATGTTTTACTAAGGCCACTACATTGTCGTTAACTCATGATTTGGGCTGCTTTTATAATACTGGCTCTAACTATTTCCATGCAGTCAACCTGGAAGGGTTGATTTTGTACAAAGGAGGTGCTGGAATGCAGATTTGTAAAGGGACAGTTTCGTCACCTAAAATCTGGTATTCTTGTTTACTTTTGTTTTGACCAAAAATATATTACACCCCAGCACATTATATCAGAGTATCAGCCCTGTCTCTTGTAATTTTCAGGTCTTTGTCTTTTTTATTTTGCTGGTACTCAACAGCAACAAAAAAATCTACCCAACTCATCACGTAACAGCAGTACGCTGCATCTCCACAGTACTTCCAGCAGAGGGATCTGAAAGAATTTTGTGCTGCCACCTTAAAATACTCAATACGTCACAGCACTCATCTTCATTCCATTTTTCATCTTCCATAAAAAGCTCAAAAATATATTTTTGAGATCCACGTAACTGTTACAAAACAAAAGAAGGGGAAAGAAATGAGAGACTTGAGCTGGAACTTGCCTTCTAGTATTTGAACCTGGTAGGATCATATTTTCAAATTTTCTCTTTGTATCTAGAAGGAAGGTGAACTCCTTTTAAACAAAATGAAGAAAACAAAGCTTAGCTTCTTGGGGAATGACACAGTTGCAGAAATCAGGCACTTATCACTTAACATAGCAAAACTATTGAAGTGATGAAATTACAAGAGCAGCTGAATCTTTCCTCACAATATTCACCCTGAATATGAAAGCTATCAACAATTAAGGAAGAATGGCTGCATGTTCAGAAATTGCTAATATGTGCGTTCATCACCTTCAAAGTTTCAAGCTATAAATTATAAAAGTCTGTGCCACACTTGAGATATTTAATACATATCTTTCTTTTCTTTAATAACTGGAATAAATTGAGTGAAAGACAACCTCCCATTGATTATGTGGAAATTGAAGTTTGCATTTTGCAGCAAAGACCACTGGACCCAACATGTTCACCAGCAAAGTTCAGAGGAGAGGTTTTTGCTCACCCCCTGCACAGAACGAACTGCTATTAGTAGGAACAATAAACAAAATCTCTTTGTACACAGAATGAGAAGTTTAAATTTCAGGGTTGAGAAAGGGTTTGCGTATTCAGAGCACAAATCAGATCCTACCATGGTTTCAATACCCACTAATCAAACCATAGCTACAGGACTCTGAGCTTTCAAGTGGTGCATGCCAACCCTCCCTTTGCAACGAATTTGAAGGTATAATATTTGTATGATCTCAACAAAAGCACAATTTGGAAACACAGCAAGACTGACAGGACTGCCACTACTTCATATAATAAAGACTAACATAACAGGTGGAATGAGACAACAGTACTCTATTTGCTAAGATTTAATATGGTCCACATGGACTTCAAAAAAGCTGTGAAGAACATGGGGTGCTTTTGGAGTTTGACTGTTTCATTGGTCAAAGGCTTCTAAGAGTAGCAAAATTAATATCAACAGAACTACAAAGAAGATAGTGAACAAATGCCTGAATGATCTTTGATTCAGTTCTGCACAGTGCTTATAATCTCAAGGCGGGCAAAATAATAAAAGGCAGAGCAGAGGAATTCCATCAGATTATTTAAAGAAATAAAAAGCGAGAGCAGTGTACACAGTTCATATTGGACTCTTGCCTCTTCATATTTAAATCTAGCATTGGAAAAAGTGCACCTATACAGGTGTAAAGCACATAAGCCATCAGAAATAGGAGGCTATACACTCACGATGCAAGAGACAAATACATCACACTCTTCAATGCAAAACAATATAAAACCTTTTTTCTTTTTCAGCTTTCACATAATCCTAGAGATTAGGACGTAGAAGAGATGTGTGTGTATGAATGAAAATTAATGCAGGCAATGAGAACTATTGGTGATCTGCTAGCTAATCTGGAGATCTGCCATGTATAGTAAAATTGGAAATGGTCAGAAATACTTTCACTGCAAATACTTTACAAAATTGGACTGACTACACTCAAATTTTCTCTCTTGAAAAAAAAAAAATTGACTTCACACAACTGCTCTATTTTTATATTGGCAGAACAAGTATTTCAGAACTGCCATTGTGAAGCTCAGTTCTGTTCTGTTTATCTGCTGTATGACAAATCAGACTTGGAACGAAAGCCAAATTGTGTGCCTTAAATGACCTGAAAATATAAGTTCTTTCATAGCAGCTTCCTTCCAAGAACTGAAATTAGAAAAGAAAAATTTCTACAAATGCAGTTAAGTAGTAATACAAGTTCAAGAATGCTAAAGTCTCTTGTGAAACTAATGTTTACCCCCATACTGGCACAGCAGGCTTTCAACACTAAACGCAAAGCTAGCAACAGCCTTATAACTGCAACATTAAATCTTGTGCCTTTTTTCACAGCCTGCTATCTGGTCTTGATATGCTCCTGCCTTGTTTGCATTCCCCCCCCCTCACTAAGATGCTGTGCAGAGCAGTAGCCTTGCTCCCTGGTCATTCTGCTCTTTTCTCCACAGCTCTTCCTCACTGGCAGGATTCCTCTTCATCGATGGCAAAGCATTGGAGTAGCGGTGCCGTGTGTGTCTTGGCTCAGAAGGGGACTGAATGAGGAAGGGAATTAGCTTTGGGAAAGTCCCACGTCAGGGGGTCATAGAAGGGAGGTGTTCAAGGTATACACTCTAGCTTGCCATGTGTGGCAAAGTCAGGCTGGGAGGAACCTTTAAATTAGCCTAAGACATCTCTCCTTTCCTACCCAATCACGGTCCCCTGTGACTCTAGCAACTGCCTGCCCATGGAGTTTGACGTGATCCCAGCACTTGGCAGTACCAAGACACTTGCTTTCAGTGCCAGCACTGTGAGAGACGCAAGTGGAAGTGTACTGCAGCAGATCTATTGCTCATTGTAGAGCAGAAAAGCAACAAGCACATTCATGGTCTTTAAGTCTTCCACTTTCAGGTAGGGAACAAGATAACAAATTCTTACCCAAAGTAGCAAATACATTTTAACTGCACTCTGCTCCATCACTACATCCTGGGGTCTGACATTCTGGAAGTGCATCTATAACGTTACGGCAACCATGGTGGGCCTGCTCACATGAATACAACTTATTATGTGTTAGCCACCAGGAGAGATCCTTTAAATAATTAACCTTGAAAGAACTCAGAACTTGGTTCAAAATGATGAAAACTTTGCAACTGGAGTTTTTTCCAGGTGGAAAAATCAGCAAGGCACGTTTGCATGGCATGCAGTGCAAGTAATACTTGGCTGTTAGTGTAAGTGAAGTCTCCAGGCATACTGAGGGCAGACCTCTAGTTACATTATCAAGAACCTGTCACATTTTTCCTTTTCCATTTCTTTCCCTTTCAAGATCCCCCTAGACATGCAAGATGACATCTTTTGAATTCACCCTTTCTGCCTGAAATTATTTTTTAATTTAAGACACACAGAATTGGATTATTAGTCCAATTCAACCTGATATCTTGATGCTGGCGGAAAACAATATTGAACATTCCTCCAAGGAATGAAGACCATGCAATGCCACACTCTCAGAGCCCATAAAAAACACAGCATACACTGTGGAGGAGGGATTATTTCTGTCCTCTGTGGCTAACAGGCCACACCTGGGTACCTCAGACCTGGTTAGCTCCTTCTTAACCCCATTTATTGATTGTAAAATAAGAGACTCATTCCTAAATATCAAGCTCGCTATCAAACACTTCAATTACAGTTACATGCAGGTGTAACAAAAATCCCACAGAAGCCCCCAAAAACGTGCTATCTACACATTCTCTGCAGGCTGGGCGTTCTGGCATTCCCTGCCTCCTGGCTACAGAGAACAGCCAAAGAAGAACAGAGATTTTTGTGTACACGGGGAACGCCAGGGCTCGGCCTCAGAGAGCAAGCTCCGGGTCGGTGAAGGGGGGGAAGGGTGGAAGCCCCGCAGGCTGCCAGGAAACGGCCCCTCTCAGCTGACAGTCATCCTCCAGCCCCTCCGCAGCCCGGCCGTCTCGTGACGCGGCCGCGAGAAAACTTCGGGCGCTGCGGGGCGGGGAGGGGAAGGAGGGCGCGAGGAAACTTCGGGCTCCCTCCGATCCCCGCACGCCGCGGCGGCTCTCCTGAAGCGGTGGTGGGGCGCAGTTCAGCGGGGGATTCTGAGCGGACCCTCCGGGCTCGGCTGCAAAGTTGCGCCGTGCCCGGCATCGAGACAAAGTTGCGTTGGAGCGAGCACGGCGGAGCCCGGCTGCCGAGATGCTTGCTCTCCCCCACATCGCTCCCCGCTGCCCCCCGCCTCTCTCCTACCGCCTGCGGCGGGGTCCCGATCAGCATCTCCAGGTAGTATCCTCTGCCGGAGTCCCCCTGCAGATTCTCCACCATGGCCAAAAAGTTGAGGCTGCCCGCGGGGTCGGAGGCCAAGGCCAGGCCGCCCACCTCGTCCTGGACGTCCCGCTGCCCTCCTCCGGCGCTCCCCGGTCTCAGCGGCAGCGGGGCGGCCGACGAGGCGCGGGGAGCGGCGGGCTGGGACACGCGGAGCGGCAGCGAGAAGAAGGCCCGGCTGAGCCCCGCGGCGCCGGCCAGCAGCAGGAGGAGGCTGGGAGCCGCCGGAGCGGCCATCCCGGCGGCACGTCCCGGCTGCGGCGGCACGGGCGGGAGGCAGCGGCCGCCTGGCTGCCGGGCTGGAGGAGGAGGAGGAGGAAGGCGGGAGCGGCTTCCCCACGCCCCGGCTCCATCTCCCCCCTCCCCCCGCGCCGAGCTCCTCCTCGTTCCCTCCGCACGGCCCCGATGCCCGCGCTCGGCCGGACAAGTTGCGCTCCTCCCCGCGGCGGCGGAGAAAGTTGTGTCGGCGCGGTGTGTCCGGCGGGGAGGAAACTTTCCGAGAGCCCCGAAGGGACGGCAGCGGGGGCGGTGGGATCGGCATCGCCGCCCCGCCGGGCCGCGCCGTCGCCATCTCTCTGTGACCGCGTGTCCTGTCCGTGTGTGTGTGGAAATTCATCTGCTGCATTAACGGCGTGTTGTCATAAGAGCGGGGCATGACTGGCGTCCGCTTATTAAAAAGGCTGCGAGGTTCTAAATGTCTTCATCATGCACGGAATTAATAACAGCAGTCGAGTGTGGCCTTTCAGAGGATGAGAACACTTAGGATGAAATTAGCCTCTGCGTCTCTGGAGTAATGGCACTGTGAGGCTGGGTGCTGCAGAAGCCTTTAGATGTGGCATTAAGCCAATCTAAGCCAACTCACTCGTGCTTTTTTGGTCTCTGCACCCCTCAGCTGCCCCACCTTCTCTGCAGGAAATAAGTGATGCCTGCCCAGCCTCAGCCAGGTGTACCTCGGAGTGCCGCAGTGCAAAAAGGACATACAGCTATTAGACAATGTCCGAAGAAGGGCTATGAAGTTGGTGAAGAGGCAAGGTGTGTAAGGAGCAGCTGAGGCCCCTCGCTGTGCTCAGCGCAGAGCAGAGGAGCTGAGGGGAGGCCTGATGGCGGCTGCAGCTCCTCACAGGGAGCGGAGGGGCAGCGCTGAGCTCTGCTCTGTGTGACAGCGACAGGGCCCGAGGGAACGGCATGGAGCATGAAGGGGACGGGTGGAGGGATTAAGGAAAGGGTCTGCACCAGGGGGCGGTGGGCATGGAATGGACTGCACGGGGCTGTGGGCATGGGCCCTCAGTGCCAGAGTTCAGGAAGTGTTTGGACAGAACTCACAGACATAGGGTTTGGATTTCAGGATTTGGATTTGGTGATCTTTGTGGGTCCTTTCCAATACGGGATTTTCTCTGATTCTCTGACGTGCTGTCCTTAGCAAACCCTCAGCAGCCACCTGTTTTATCCTTGAGTATATACCCACTCCATATTGCATGCATGAAGATCTGCTATAGCAAGCAGCAGGGGTTCCTGAGGGGCAAGAATCCTCCAAAGGATTTCCAGGTGTTTCACAGCTATTGAGTAAAGTTTCCTTCGAGGCGAGCAATGTCTGTTCTCGCTCCCAGGAAGCCTGAGCAAACTCTTTGCTGGAAGGTTGCTTAGGTGAGGCTGTTGCTCATAGGTATTGCCAGAGTTGCTTGGGGACAATACTCTGAAAGAAAATTGAAGCCCACCTGCTCTCACTGAAGGAAAGAGGTGCTTTCACTTTTTTTCATTGATGTATTCAGCACCTTGGCTTGTCATTCAAATCCTCGAGCCCTTCCCCTCGCTTTGTAACCACTCCCTTAGATCATTTCAGTGCTTCTCGCACATCACAGCACAGAGTGGGTGCAGTCCCTGGCATCCATGGGGAGGAGGAACGCTTTGCTGTGCTTTCAGCCGTGATTTTCTGGAGGTGGGAATTGAGCAGCAGGATTGTCCTGATGGAGAACTTGGGTAGAAGGCAAGGATAAAGGTTGCATTCACATTATTTTAATTGTAGGAAACACATAGGTGTAACTGTGCAAACCCTGCACCTGCCAGGTGGCAGGAAGCTTTCTCTTTTCCTGACAAGAGAATGGTGAAAGATTGCAGCCCTACTTTGAGCAGCCTGAGCTGCCTGGGGCAGAGGAGCTGGGAAGTGCGGCTTTGGAGGCTGGCAACCAAACACCTGCGGGAGCGATAGTTTGGCTCACAACAGTGGTTATCTCCTGGGTGCTCTGTATTGGCTTTTGGGGGGGGGGCCCCCCCCCCAACTGAGCAGGGGCAGGCAGTGCTGCACAACCTGTGTCGTCAGTGCTGCAGCTGAAGGATGGTTAAGGCTCTTTGTGGGTGAGCTGAGAGCTGGAGAAGTGCCCGTGCCCCTCTGTGAAAGGAAAGCAATCAGGAGTATAACTGAACACCCCCTCAGAGTGGTAGGGGTGTATTTATAACAGTCAGCAGCTATATACATTTTGTTTGAATTTTTTTACAGTACAGTAAGCCTTCCCCCCTCGCCTCTGTTGCTAAGATACATTACCATATTTCTGGGGAGAGCAATCCCAGCCAGAGAACTGTGTAGTTGTCAAAGTATGGAAGATATAGCATAGCCTTTAAGTCACACTTGTCTTGTCACACTTTTTTTGTCCTGTTTTCTGTGGTTATGTACAAGTCTTATTGCACGTGTGTATCAGAAAGCTGCTGCATGTGAAGTGGTGTACACGTAACCTTCCCATCCTCCCATCACATCATCACAGCCAGACCCATGTTCACACAAAAGTGTGTTGTGAGATTTCTGTCTGTGCTCGTCTTTATTTACTGAAGAATCTGATGAGGCTCAAGCTGTACCATGTGCAGGTGAGCAGACCTTGTGCGTGTCTGAACAATGGCAGAAAGAGATCTTATGAGAGTAATGTAAACAGCTACTTTGGGAGAAGACATTATAAACTTCCAGAGAACTGAGCCCGTCTACACAAACAGTTGCTTGGAGAAGAAATCATCTGCATGCAATGCATCCACATTCGCAAAATGTACCACATATACAAAATAAATGAAATGCTGGAAACAGATGCAAATAAAGGGTGTCGGGGCTCCTTATTTTCTAGCATATTTGAAGATTTTTTTTCTCTATATTTTGTTATTCTAAGTATGTGTTCTTTGAGTAAACAGTTGTTAAAAATCTTTAAACATTACAGTGAGAACAGGTCTTTTTAAAAAGTCCTTTGTTCACACATAAATTTGCAGGTATATCTAGACTTTGCATCCATCTGCTTTGATCCTATTGTGGTGCTTTAAACTGTGAGCCACTTGAAAGTTAATCAACATATGTCTTTATAGCATAACCTTCCACCAGTATTTAGAGAATACAGCATACCATAAACACGTAACTACTGGATGAGCTGTATTAGCTAAGTCTGAGGGACAGTTGCTATATGTAGATACTAGAATGAAGCTATAGGGAGAACAGGAATGGAGAAGAAGGTTGAACATGCAGAGGAAGTGCTGGAACTGATGGGAACAGAGGAACTCTGGATGTCTAAAAAGAGATCTTCTCTTTCCAAAACAGGAAGCTTTTAGGTGACTGCTAAAACTGAAGCAATTGTCAGCTGTGCATCTGAAGAAGTCAGGCTGACCTACGCTATCATTATGTAAGAACAAGGAGAGATGGACACAAAATAAAGACTTCTATTCTAAAATTGCTTTGTCTACTTTCTGTGTTCCTACTGTTAGTGTAATCAATACTTCAGTTTTAAGAAGACTGATTGCTCTTTACCACTAATTGCACACTGGTATGGCAAGAAACCCAGCAGGATTTGCAGCGTACAAAGGGTTAATCTGAAGAGTTCAATAGCATTAGGAAAGAGGAGATTTTGTTCTTCTCAGACCTCACTGGAAATGGTCTTCTCTGTTTGCAATCTCCATGCATCAGCTCTTTCATACTTTGTGCCTAGTCCAGTGAAACGCTGCTGGCAGATGACAGAGCAGTAAACAGCTGAGCAGCAGAGCGGCAGTGGAGATAGCATGGTTTGGCTCTTTGCATGTCTGCCAAGAGAATGAATAAACCAGGATGAGGGGCATGCCATACTGGAGAGCTATTCCAGTGATGCTCCTAGAGGTCTAGTAACATGTCCTGTGCCAAATGAGGGCATGGACAGTCTGGAGACTTTTTAAGGACAGCACAGTGTGTAGAACTAATCCAAAATTAATCTTGTGGCTGAAGAACGCATGGTTGGGGATGTAGGTGGAAATGTTTAGTGTCTTTTCTCTTTACTGTGGGTAGAGTATCTTGGTAGAAGTGTCATCTTTGATCAGTGTTTATGCAAATAGATTTTTGAAAGGTTATATATTCTTTTGGCTACAGCTGAATCATGTGAGATGTTGAAAATCCAACTGTCTTCTGTCAAAGCTCCATTACAAATCGAGAAAAAACATAATTCATAGTTGCGCTGCCACTGCTGGAGCCTGGCTGAAATGAGATCAGAAATTATCCCAAGATTTTGCTTTGTGGTAGAGGCTGTCACCCAGAGGGGTGCCGAGGTCCTTAGTCTACATCTTTTTCCCTGGAGCAAGATCCTTGACCTCACCAAGATTCCACAGGACATTCCTCCTCTCCATTTGGAGGCTCTTTCTCCCATAGAAACCTCCACATCCCAGAATGTTTTATTTCTCCCTTGGACCTCAAGCCCTTCTGCCCTCCTCTTTGCAACACCTCATCCCTTTGTCAGGAAGAAAGTGGAGTGTCACCAACCAAAGTTTGGAGATGTGGAAAAAGATCTTGCTTGCTGCTTGTTTTCTAGTTAGAGCAGAATCTTCCAATATGCCACCATCCCTCCTTTGTGGAAAGGACCAGGAGCAAAGGAATGGGGAGGAAGAACCATGGCTGCAGGTTTAAGTGGCTCAAAGCCTGGCTGTCCCAGATATTGTAGGCTCAAACAGCAGCAAAAGAGCAGAGGTCAAGATTAGGGTCTCAAACATCCCAGTGCTACAGTCCTGTTCGTACAATTAGTACTGTATTTTGTCCTTTGTGTATCACTGGTAGACTAAATTTTGCTAACTGTGGGCCTGATGTGGCTCATTGGTAGCTGGGAGGGTAGATGTTTGAGTTTCTGCCCTGCATCAGAGGCAGACTACAGAATTCCTGTTGAATGCATTGACCACTATTGACCACTCTTAGAAAAGTGTTATTTCTCCTCACAAACCTCTGCAGGCTCTCTCGACTCTCTCATCTGGCACCATGG